CGTGTTTAATATGGAGCCCCATATCGTAAACCACAGTAATCGTGCAAAAAAGTCCGTATCATGCAATTTAAGTATCGTATTGGTGATGAGCATGTCGGATACCCCTCCCCCCCCCCCTGCGCCAAGTTTCAGCCAAATCTGTAATATTTTATTATATTTTCGATAATTTATAATTGAATAATTAATTGATATTAATTGATAATTATAAACTATAGTGATTAATTGTTATTAACAGTCGCTCTCTGCCGCTACGCAGCAGATTCGGCAGGGTACACGGCAGCTTCGCTTCCACATAAATGTCTAAGTGTGAAAATTTGCACAAAATTTGCCATCTTGCACGATTACTTCGATTTATAATAGGCGCAGAAAGAACAGCCAAGGGCATAATTTCAGCTTTGTCAGTTCATTTCGAATCAACATTTTAAGCAACAGCAACGGATATTACGCGAACTGTGAAAAATCAAAATATTGCTAGGGTTGTCAGTGTAGTTGAACAAAACGATTCATTAACACCCACCCATTCTATGATTATGCCTGGCAAATTTGGTTTAGATTTCGTAACTCCATCTATCTTTTCAAACAAAGATAAAAAAATTTCTAGGTGAAAAGTGCAAAAATTCATAAGTCAATAGCAACAAACCTTGTATACTGAACAAAATAGCTTGTTAAAAACCGCGCACTCCATGCATTACGTCTGCCAAATTTGGTTTAGATCCCATGATCCCACTTTTTATCCATTTTGAACGAAAAAAAAGAAGAGCTAAGTCAAGCACCACAATAGTATTGATTGACTGTTATTGATTTGGTAGCCTTATCTAATTTTGTGGACAAACATCCATTCTCGATTTTATTGATCAGTTTAGTTGGTTCGACGACCGGTTGCGAAAGGTTGGCATAGTTAGACATCAGCTAGCCTCCAGAAAATGACTTACAAAAAATCAAAAAATGTGTAAAAGTTTGTAGTTCGAAAGTAAAGATACTTTATTTGAATTGACCATGCTTAGCTATCCCTTCCTTCCAGTTATTTATCTCTACGGAACTAAAATACGGAAAATCAATAAATCAATAGATCCTACTATGTTGAAGAAATTACTGACGCCCATCCCAAGTCGAATTTGTGCAAAGTTCTGCCCAAATTCCATTACTTCTTCTAACATTTTATGCTGGTCATAACAAAATCGCTAAGAAAAAGCCCCAAAAATAAAAAATCAAAAGCGCCACTCAATGATTTTCGGTGATTAGCGACACCCGTCCCACCCCAAGGTTTTTGTGCACAAAACTTTGTTTGAATTCCATCATTTTTCTAACATTTTAGGCCGACCATAACAGAATCGTTAAGCAAAAAAGCAGAAAATCAATTAATCAATAGCGCACTCGATGATTTACGGCGAAAACGAATAGTGACAGCCGCCCCACCCCGAAGTTTCTGTGTGCAAAGTTTCATCTAGATTCCTTGATTCTTTGTACCATGTCAGGCAGGTCATGAAAAAAAGCTTATCCAAATACTATATAGATATTGATTTATAATTTTTCCCTTGAATCATATAGCCCTTGATTCAACTGGCTTGGCTCCGTTAGGGTGGGGTTTTGTGATCTGAGGCCGCTCGCGCCCGCGACGTACCTGCGTCTCTATGTTGCGAGCGCTCTCTGATCATAGTCATAATTTAGGTCACGAAGCCCCGTCTTCGCCGAGGCCAAGCCAATCGAATCAAATGGTACCTAACATTTGATTCAACTAACTGCGACGTCAAAATCTGACGAAAATTTATCTGTACCTGTAGCTTACGTCATAGCCTACATAATGACCGAAATTGAGTGCGTCATATATATATATAGAGGGAAAAGTCATAAAAGTAGTTGCAAAACTTAATTAGGAACCTAATAAATATACTGCATGGAGACGCTCTGTGGTCTGCATCAACTTTCAAACGCCTCACGCTCTCTGGCTGTGCAGATATGGGATAGTGCAAAATTGTCCAATTTGGCCGCGGCATGTAAGCTGTAATGTAAGCTTTTTTAAATTCAAAAAAGGCAAAACCTCAGGTTTTGGCCAATGATGTGGCACCTTCTTTGTGTTATGACATCTGCTGCAATGTTGGTCTAGTCTCGCTGCCGTTGGCGCGTTAAAGGCACCCTAAGTTGAGGGTATTGAGCTTTTGGCAGCATAATGATAGTAAGGCCCCTATTGAGCCAATGCCCAGATTGCGGCGCAAAATGTCGCTTCCGAAGCGAGAAAATCGCTCCGGAATAGCGAAGAGGCATAAGGACCTCAAGTCGGCACCGTCCCCCCCCCCCCTCCTCCAGTAATGCCCGCCCATCCGTGCGCGCCCATCCAAGGCTCCGGGTCAGAAGTCACACAGCGCGCGGCGGCCTCTCACCGCGCCCAAATTTTGTGCCTCACAAAAACTCTCCGGTGTACGTGACACGGCGTCACTTTAGCACCGAAGAGTTTTTGTGAGGGGGTGGCAGCAAATAAATGACTCGATGCCATAAGTAACGTTGCAGCAGGAGTACTGACGGGAGCTGAGGCCTGTACTGCTTGTCGTCGCCTGACGGCGTCACTTCGCGAAAAATCGTGACTCCTGACCCATACCGCCCATCCAATCACCATCCCGGAAAGACGGCAGGTGGGTTCTCTAGAATTGTCGGGGTTTTCGCGGATTCTCGACCTCATAATTGGTAACAGCGATGTGAAGAGACCATGAAATGACAAAAACCTGGATTCGAGAATCTGGGTGGACGGTGCCTTTAATATGATACAACTTTTGTGACACTGTGACATATGAGAAGCATGCCAAATTATGATGATTTCAAACTGCTTGTATAGCTATGCAATTCAGTATATTGTCTATCTAAGACGATATTGTGACAGATATGAGCGATTCAATTTTGAGCGTGATGAGTATGCACTTCAGAACACCACAACAGATAATGCCACATGCTCAGGATCTGAGCAAAAGTTATCTAAGTTTCAGCTGACATTACAATTAACATTGCATTGCGGCGGAGCTGGACGAGGCTTCACGGTGTTATAAGCAGTTGGAAACTTGCTCAGGAATGAGTGGAAAATGGCAGCATAGCTTTGCACCGCCGTTTGCAAATCTCCGTAACTACAGTCTCCACATCTTGACAGTGTGACAGCCCGCGCGTCTTTCACTCATTTTAAGGCAATGTCCAGGCAAATCTGGGCATATGGGTTTTTTTTTCAGGAAACTGTCGAGGAGGCTCTAGTTAAGCACTGCCCAAACCGCAGCGCAAATAATGCATTGACAGCTGAGAAATCCATCCACAAACACTCCGCGGCTGCGCCGTAACCGTAACACTTAAGATTGGTCCCAGCGCGAACGTAGTGTTAAAGTGAGCAAAGCCGTTTTTGGGTTACGGTCACGGCGCAGGCGCGAAGTTTTCGGGAATGAATTTCTCAGTTGTGATTAAACAATTTGCGCTGCCCCTTGGGCAGTGATTTAGTTAGGAAGCCCTCATCAATTTGCAGGCGAAACAGCCATGCGACCAGATTTGCCTGGACACTGCTTTTAATACCTTACGTACCAGTGGTACATCACCATGTTTGCAACTGTCTCCTGCTTTCCACAAGGTCTCCTTCTGTTATAAGAAGCTATTGTAAAGGCGCAGATCTATTGTAACATACCTTTCTGGTGATGCGCCAGCTTAATTTATTCGTGCGGACTAACGGAAAGCAGTACATTATTGCAAACTGGTGGGGCGTTGCGAATGTCGCGTGCGACAGAAGTTTCGCGTACATAATCGCATTTTCAAGGACATTTCAATAGTTCCAGGGCAAAACGATACTGTAAGAGCTAATTAAAAAGCTAACCTTCGCATTTTAAGAAACTAAAGCCTTTCTGTACAGTTATATGACAGGAAGGTATACGGCACGGTTATCAAAATCACAGGCTTACTAATTCTTGGTCCATGGGATTTTTTAGCACGCTGATCACACATATAGTGTCAAGCACGCAAGCGCGATCTCCTGAGGTTATAGTGATTCGATCGACGGATTAGACCAAACTCAAATCTGGCCAAAAGATAGTGCGTCACTTATAGCGCAAAAAAACTCTTTCAATCGCAACCGAGATCAACCCCTTTCGCAAAATTTTGCCAAATCCGAATTTTTAACATCCACTATACACCCATCTCAACAACACAGAAGATGTTGTTGTGCGAGAAACGTGTTATACAATCACTGGTAATAATCATGTCAGATAGCTGTTAGGGAGCAATTTCGAAAGAAAACCACGACTTTCAAAGTTTAGGTCGCAATTTGGGGTAGTCAAATAGCCCCCCCCCCCCCCCATCTACTACAAAATATAGGACCAAGACGTCAAATCAGGAATGATGTGGTAGAACGCGTATGTAAAGTGCTAAACTCAACACTCAGCGCAAGTTATATATGAATTTACCTCGAATTTATGCAATGATCGCGTATCGCGGAAAAAGGCGTGCTACACATACTGTCCGAAACTTGTTAAGCAATCACTAACTGACTGGTTTTTTATGCTCTTTTCATCTGTTTGATATGTGAGTATAAATTAGCGATGAAATTTGTTGTGCTACATGGCTTCTTCAGCTCCGCCGTGCCGGAGATTTTTCCGTACGGAAGGAAAATTACTTCCTATACGGTGTAAAACCATCTTCTCATGAAAATTCTATCTGTTCATACTCTTTTGCAGATCAATTTCCTAACAAGTTTGGAGACCAGCCATATCCTTGCGCAACATTGTCCTTTACGTTTCGTTTCCTTTGGACATATATGCCAAGTGCGTGACTAAAGATAGAGCGACTAACACAAATATCTACTTTTTCGCATTTCATTTTTGAATAAGAATTCTTGTTCAAAAATGTTGTGTGGAAATGTTGTTTTGGACTCTAGCAGCGCTACAGATAAAAGCCGTCAACATTGCAGGCTTGGATTTCATGGTGACAACTGACATCGCCATTCAACCTCCGCTATGTTTTCTTAAGAGTCCAAAGTAACTAACATCGTAACATGTTTGCGGTAATGATATTCCGTGGCAAACGTTTGTAGGGGGCGGCTTCGACATCTCCACGAAAGCTCCTGTTTTACCTTCATTTGCAACATTGAATTGTATTCCTGCTGACGATGGCAATATGAAACAAGATCGATCTAAAATGTATATCATGCTGACAGGTGAAAAAAAGAGCTCGTCGATTGCAATTGACCTGGATAGGGCTGGCTACTCTGACTAACGGCGAGGATCTGACGCAGTGGAGGAAACTCTATTGGTATGGTGACCTCCTTTCCATAAATGAGCATCTCAGACGATGTTACGAAAACGAATACTTTGTCTGCTATCGCGAATGCAGACATAGCTCTTAGCCCCCTTCCTAAAAAGTTGCGAACGGATCGATCTTGTATTTGACCAAAACGATAACAATTACACAGCATTCAAGAATGATTACCTCCAAACTTATTCCAATCAATGCGTACTTCGTTGCACTTATTGTTTTCTTCCACATCAATCATTACCAGTCCATTCCAGGTGAGCGCATAGATTTTAGGTGAAGAAGCTCTGTTCCAAGCGAATTCCAAAACAATGGTATCAGACTTTGCACTTTTTTTTTTCAACAAATGCCCCACCTGTCATCATCCATGTCACTGTTTGATTAGTCAGACAGCGTACTGACAAGGCCAAGTTCTTTTCGTGACTTCTTGAGAGGTTTAGTGAAAAGAGTGATCCGTTTTTCGTTAACAGGTAAGCGGTGCTAGAATACATCTGTTTACCATGGCATTCAAAAGGACACTGATTAGAGCAAAGTACTTCCTGACAATTTTGTGTATAGCAATATTTCTGTTATTGGAGTCGATCATCCCAGTGAATAAACCAAATCAATCTCACTTTTTAAACGGATCGAATGTAAGCAATTTAGCGTCCGTAGCCCCGGTGGTGAGGTCAATCAACTTCCGTGGCATAAGCGATGACGAGCTGTCTTTGAAGTCGTCCAAAACAAGTTGGTAGAGGGCCTGACCGGACACTAATAATAAGCGATTTCCAACCCAGTCCGAGGTCAAAGCGTCCACTCGCGATACATCTCCACCAATCGAAGCCTAAGTAAGCTGATATTTGATGTGCTTCATGTGTTTTCAATATTCAAAAGTGAGAATCTCAGGGACTGTGTGCAACATTTTCAGTAGTGAATGCGTTTGACGATTTGAAAAATATCTAGGATTCTCTACACAGGAAAAGACTTTACGTTCGTTTTGTGAATAACTTTTTTCATGTAAGGATAGATGGGTTATCGCCAATTCTAGTGATTCCGGAGCAATGTAAGCGCAGCCAAATTTACCTTACGCTTAAACGTGTTAATATCGTTGGTGTCAATCTGGAGAAGTACGGGCTGAAGAGAATCGTGCTCCTTTCTGACTGCGAATAGATCGTCTCCAATAAAAGCGATGGCTTGATACTCCATCTAAAAACTGTCTTTTGATTTTTTTTCTTCCAGATTTGCCCATATAAGCAGCGCAATGGCCGCAAAGTCGCATGTGCGTATAAAAAAATTCCCTTCTGATGCAAACCTTGGAAATTAGGAATCAAGAACGAAATGTAGAAGATATAAGAGCTTGTTTTGACTGTTAGCATTTACAAAATGCTACCATTCATGAGTGATTTGCATACAAGCGAGAACAACCTGGCTGTAGCAGAGCAGAGCGGGTTAACTAAACAATTCTGACTCAAACCAAATTCGAGTAGCATCTTCAATAAAGGAAACAACTAGCAAATGCTTTAACGATGAGTCTTGGAATAGGGATGTTGATGATTACACAGCAGATGTTGCGAATCGTGATGCTTAAGTGTAGATGAAAAAATATTGACTTCCTCACTTTTTTATTTTTCCAATTCATGCAACTGGTGATACGCTGAACGAATGTAGTAGCTCAACATAGCTGTCTTGATATGCAGTAAACAACTGGGCAAATGATAGGCGTTGGTTTTTTGAAAAATCAGACTGTACTGCAAAAATAAAATTTATAGCCCACAATCAATAGTATCGATTTAATTATGAGCCAAGAAGGATGCACGGTCATGCCTACCTACAACCATGGTATGAATAACTTATGAGTCAACACAGCAACAAAAAAAAGAGAAAGACACCAAAGCGAACGGTCTTGATTTCATGTGTGCTCCGGCAAATAAATATCTTTTTGAGCTTTCTCTTACACCGCTCCCATGGAAAAAGAGGGAGTAGACAATGATTGCACTTGTGTAGATTCATGAATAAGGTCGTAAAACCCTAAGAGTGAGTCTCACACTACACATTGAACCTCCACTCTAATTCCAGAAGGTTTCAATATCAAATCTTTAACTTCATCCGTACGCTTGCACACCCCCTTTTTCCTTTACAAATGGGGTGTGATGAGTGGAAATCTGCAGATGTACTAGGCTGGTGCATAAGTTTTGTCTTATTTTTTGCCTTATGTTCAAAGCACCTGTTCTAGAAGCTTTTGACTGTAATGCGATATCGTTTGTACTCTTAAAAAGCGGTTTTATTGCTTTTTACAACACATGTCATATTTTAGTAGAATCCCCAGTTTGACGAGATTGCAGGCCTATGATCCCCAGATAGTCGAGACACGTTCTCAGCTAGAAATTGTTTTTGCGAGAAAATTTCCTTAATATGCTCTCCAAGTCAACTCCTTGTATTGGTCAGGTGAAACAGTCCAGTATACACAAACTCCCTCTCATGTAAAAAACGTCTTCCTAGTAAAAATTATGTTGAAGAATAACTGTTTGTACAAAAGTCCCGTCACAAGCTATAACTTTCCGAATAGAGGCAATCGATGAGTTTAATGTTGTAGGTGCTAAAGTAAAGCAAGGGCTAGGAGCCCAGCCACCCATTACTATCATTCCTCGCCGCAATTGTAAAATTTTCATGAGAAAGTTGGCATACATACTTGTACTAAAACGAGGTTGAAAAAACTTCGTTTTCATTCGGTCGAAAAAAACTCTCGGTACCAAAGATCCTATGAGCACTTTTAGGCTGTAGAACAATCTTTAAAGTTTTATTCGTACTCATGGCTACTCAGTATGCCTGTCAGTTCTCAAAAGGGAGCGTTGCCATGTCAAAAAAGACGGGTTCGAAGAACAGCGCTGTAAAGTTTTTGAGTTTTCCTGCTTCTTCTTTGACAGGATTTTTCGCAAGAGCTAGTATTTCTCTAATAATTAAAGAATTGCTCAACACATAGAACTGCTCAACTCATTTCTCTGATAGCTAAAAAACTGCTTTTGCTTTACACATAGAAACTAAGTAGTTTATGGAAATTATTGATCTTGAAAGAAATTGAGATATTTTTTGTACAAAAATGCAAATAGGACAGAATTTATGCAGCAGCCTTATACTCTTTCTAGCAGTGCTAATATCTCAGCAAGTGAGAGGAGCTTAGGATCTAGCGGGCGGAGTTTGTCACTTTTCAATTACCTAATTTCTCCTTAGTTAAGCTGTACTGCGTGTGCATGTAAGCATGTAAATTTGTGTTTAATATAAACTGAATGTGAAAGTGTTATTACCTTTATGGAAGTTGGAAAACTAGCTTGAGTCAAAATCATACGCTTTCAATTTTTCCTTGCATTTTCAGAGGGGCTTTGCTAATGCTCGTGCTTATCGTCATCTTGTAGAGTTTGCTTTCCTCTATCCAAAGGTATGCACTTGCTCCACATGCCACTCACATCGAAACAAAAACTTTGTCATGCATTGTCCGAAAACTTTGTTACCATTGTAATATTACACATACTAGACAAAAAAGTACTCCAATGGTCTAAACGGTGAAATCCGCAAGTAAACTCATTCAACACAAGTGATGCATCTAGGAAATTTTCCTGGGGCATTTATATGGATGATTTCAAATCCGGCGATCTAGACGTTCTAGTCGACAAGCAACTTGCACTTTTTTCTTAAGCCCGTATGCACGTACATCACCGCTAGGGAGGGGAGGGGATCTGAGAGGGGATGCCTCATATCTCTCTACCCTACATATTATTTCTTCTTTCTCTGTCTTGCTTATAAAGTTTTTCAAACATTTATACCTGCGCATAAGATGCCAGGTTGCTTCCATACAAGATTGGTTTTTTGCCATTTTGTGTGATCACCAGGGGATGCCCTGGGGATCACCTCTCATTTCGAAAGTGATTTATGTTCCTGAGAAGTCAATGAAAGATGTAAAATTGTACTGAGGATATACTACGCCACTGCTAAGCTATTTTCGACAGGAGAAATGGAATGTGAAGAATGTGGAGTTTTCGATGATCCCTGGCTCGCGAGCTAGAGATTACAGAAGATTTCGATATTTTGGGATTTCACTTTTTTCTACTGTAAATTTCTTCAGCAGCGCCGTAGTATATCCACAGTACAATTTTACAACGTTTCATTGAGTTTTCAGCGAGATAAATGGCATTGAAATTGAGAGGTGATCTCCAGGGAATTCCCTGGGGATCAAGCAAAATAGTAAAAATCTAATCAACTACGCCAGTACCCGCCTTCCATCAATTACACGCAGGTATTAGGGTATGAGAATCTTGATAAGCAAGATAGAGAAGGAAGAAAAAAATACCTAGAGTAGCGAGATATGACGCATCCTCTCTCAGATCCCCTCCCCTCCCCAGAGGGGATGTACGTGCATACGTGCCTTATGATGAGTTAACGGCCAAGTAGCAATACCTTTTCGTCAAACTATTATAAGGCCCGTATGCACTAACATTTTTGCGGCGAGGGGAGCGGCGTCCCCCATTATGAAGGGACCGCGCGCGGACGCCGTTGCGGGTTTTTCATCATTGGGGACGCCGCTGCCCTCGCCGCAGGGATGTTAGTGCATGCGGCCCTACGTATCAACAGTAAAGATAATGCTCTTTTTAGCTATATTAACTTAAGCACTGCTGCATTTGCAGCATGCTTCACTTGTGTGGACTTTTTTTCTACTCAGGGAGGGATCCCAAACGGTAATGGCGATCTGGAACAGAATGCATATCACTGGATGCGTCTTGTCGAGCTGAATCCAAATGTGAAGCGCGCAGCCACAGGGGAGAGGAGGCCGACCTCCAGAGCCGAGCATCTCCAGCTTCGACCCTTTGAAGCTTCACCTCTCGCCCATGGCTAATAACTTGCACTTTTAGCTTTAAGTTTTCCCCGCGCTTCACATTGGCTGCGCGCTCCATACAAATTCAACGTTTCACTTGCTGCGGAGTTCCCTAGAAGAAGTATGAGTGTTCAATGGTCAAAACATGACAAATGTACACGGCACCTTGTTGAGAATCAGTGGTTCAAAAGCACTTATATACGCTTCTGGTTAACAAGTGCATTGCTTGTAGTCAGCACACTCAACGTCTTGCCACTTATGCACCTTAAAACTGATTTAAAAACTTAATGCACATCATGCATTAAGGTCTAATGACTTCACACCTTCAGCCGCTTATAACTTCTTCCGTAAAATCCAACAGCGGATAGAAAGTAGTTCTGGAATGATATCCACGAAAGTCCATAATGGAGGAAAATGGACTTTCAAGCCCCATTTTATTCGTTCGCGGTGAAGAGTGGTCGGAATCTACTTTCGCTCGCGCTATCCAAAAATTTTCATCCCATCGCAACCACGAGGCAAAGCGGTGAAATGAAAATGATTCAACCCTACTTGAGCTCTCGCTTGCGAAATGATGACGTCAAAAGTCCATTTAGAATGGGGCAAAATGGGATTTACCTCCATTTTAAATGGACTTGAAAGCCCATTTTACTCCCAGCAGCAAGGTGAGCTGGGACTATGTCCATTTTTGACCTTTTTGCATATTTTCAATTGCGATTTTTTGAGAATGTGTTCCTTGGCCTATTTTAAGGTAATATATGAGTGGAGAAAGTTTCACGTCTTTTGTGGAGCCCAAAAAAGTGGTTTTTTTCAAACAGCCCTGTAATGGTCTGAAAATCAGAGGAAATATTCCTTGTGACCGCAAATTCACTACCAAATGCAAAGGCTTAGGAATCTCTCAGAATATCCACCTAAAAATCATAAAAAGTATTCAATCAGATGGTTGGATGAAAAGGAGAAGCTTCTTCTCCTAAAAATGCTTAAGATAATTTAATTTGGTTTAGCTGACTAAATCATAACCTCCTATTGATTCAGTTCATAAAAATCTACAGGCCACATTTTGAATCAATCAAAGTGAGAGCAAATTTTCAGCAAGTTTCAATGAATATGTCTGCATAATGCTCATTTCAGCTTAGTTTGTTTCCACCATTCTGCATCAACAAGAAACAGAAATTTCCTTCTATCTCAAAAACCTATTGAGGCAAAGCCCTAGCTAGCGGATTTGTCAAAAGTATACCTAACTCTAAAAGGTCACATTTTTTCCTCCTCAAAACTGAAGGAGACTAAGCAAATTCTCACAAACATAACACGTCTTTTATCATTTCAAAAAACCATACTTCGCTAT